ACAATGACTAAAGTGCTTCAAAAAGGTGTGTCATTCCATAATGAAACCATGAGCAAATGTTTTCTTGTGATTATCAAACAATATAAAGAAAATACTGTGCTGATTCAGAATCATAATGCACTCCATTGTTATAACTTTAATACCCTGGACAGATGTCACACTCCTTGGTCACCATCATATGAAATTATGAGAAGGCAATCTGAAATATCAGGAACATACCATACTACAGTATATACCAAGTTCACTTCAATGCCACTGCTGGTTATTGTAAAACCTAAACTCCAGGCCAACAACTAAATACACATACAAGAGCCATTTTATCTGCCAAATGCTCTGCTTTCTTGTCCATCCAGTCTAGAGATTTACACAGCATTGATAGACAGCACAGTCCAGTGGATGACACCACTTTAAGTTTAGTTGACTTGCCTTTCACTTTATCTACTCCCATCCCTATTCTAAGCTTATTCTATCTACCCTGTAAAAGAAAAGATGCTTATACTTTCCCATTCTGAAGTTGCTGTGGTCCAGTCACATGATCGGGTCCTGGCACCAGCTTCAATGTAGAAGAACAGCCCACAACGGCTGCACCTTAGTAAGCCTATGGGTGACGTCATCGTCAAGACTCTGCAGCCGTTGTCAGCGATCTCTCCTCTACACTGAAACCGGCACCGGAAAGTTCATGTGACCAGACCTACTTCAGAATATGTAAGGCTATGTTCACACTAGCGTTGTGTGCAGGCGGCAGAGAGGCATTTGGGAAGCGTTTTTACCGCTTCTCATACGCCTCTAGCAATCCTGCACATTGCAGAACATGGTGCTGTTCTAATGGAAGCGGTAGCATCACGGCAAAACGGACACCTCTGGACGAGTCAGGAGGCGTTGAAGCCTCCTATTCTTGTCTATGGTGCCGCTCCGCAACCGCGCGGTTGCGACGCATTTGCGGAGCGGTAACACCATTTAAACTTCATTCTAGGAGTTTGTGGGGCGTTTTTAATGCTCGGCAAATGCCTAGCAACCGCCGCTAAACCGCGCATGCGGCATTTGCGGAGCGTTTGCCAAGCGTTAAAAAACACTCCGCAAACACCAGACCAACGCTTGCCAAACGCTATAGGGGCGTTTGGCAAGCGTTGGTAAAACAGCCAAGTGTGAACGAGCCCTAAAAGTCAGCATCTTTCCTTTTACCGGGTAGATAGAATAGGCTTAGAATGGGGGTGGGAGCAGAGTTAAGCTTAGTTAGATTCTGACTTGACTTCAACCTAAAAGCTGAACTCCATCCTTCCTTTTTTTCCTACACTTGTAGCAAGACGTCTCCTATGTTGAAAATAGTTACACTCAATTAACTGCAAACTTACATCTCCGCAATATAACCTCCAAATCTTCAGCAGCTATCTTGAGCCCATATTCATTTCCTGTCTGAAGACCTTCAATCAATCATCTCACCATTTGATCTGTTTTGTTGTTGCCCACCTCTCTCAGCTTTCTCTGCCATCAGTCATTTTATTCCCAAGCAATATATGAAAGAACATATCCCCAGCATTCCTTCAGATGTGCATGCTCTCTGGATAGTGCAGACTTTAGCTGTGCAATCTGTTGATTAGTTGCTTTATTACATATCAAGCAACTGATCAGCAGAATGCACAGTTTAAATCTGCAATACCCACCCAGTGGCCAGCAAAGATGAGCATGAACCTCTAAAGGGATGACAGGAATCGTTATTTCATATAATTTATTCCAGGTACTTATATAATGATCTTCAGCTTTAACACTTCAGCTTTAAAGTTAAAGTGATCCTAAAGGTTCATTTTTTTTTTTTTTTTTTTTTAATACTAAATGCTCACTGGATGCGATTGACAATGGCTCTCGGCTGTGTCTCAGAGAGAAGGGAGAAACCCGGACAGCCGAGGCTCCCGTGTACATCACTGAATCGAGAGGGGGCTCAGATGAGTATAAGGAAGGGGCTGTAGGGGGAGCAGCACACAGAAGGTTTTTTACCTTCATGCATAGAATGCATGAAGGTAAGAAACCTTCAGTCTTTACAACCACTTTAAGTACATCTAAACCAAATCACTAAAAAGTCCTATAAGTTTTCAAACATTACTTTCTATCATTTTAAACCTGCAACCTGGTGATCCTGCCATGAAGTTAAAGTACTTCCTGCTATAGGTGACATCTGTCAATCATTGTCACCCACTCACATGCACCCCTGCTAGAGACTACAAGCAGCTATGTGTCAGGAATGGACTTGCCAGTAATGGTGGGACTCACCTGCCTTGTGGGCTGCAGTACCAGGGCTGGCCAGCGGGTGCTCCCAGCAATCAGAGACTCAACCCTGCAGCCAGCCAAACACCTGAAACTGCTTATGCAGGTGTATTTAAGTGATGGCCAGACCTGCAGTCTTTGCCTTGGTGTGTGTGTTTTTCCTGGGCCCTGTATCTTGTTCCTGCATCCCTGTTCCTGGCTCTGTCTGATTCGTTGCTGACCCTGCCTGATCCGGACCTCTGCTGACTTCTCCTGTTTTATCCCTGGCTTGTGACCCCGACCATTCTCTGCCTGACCCCCTGTACCTACCTGCCCGATTGTTATTGACCCGGCCTGCCCGACGACGCTTGCATTGTATGTATTGTTATCTGTGGGTGGTTTGGTTCGTTTGCACTGTGTTATGTTTTAGTATTGCACTGCGTTTATGTTTGTATTGTTAGTCTTTAATAAATTATATTGTTTATAACATATCTGAAGTCTGCGTTTCCCTGCGTCAGTCACATACCTCTGGTCATACCCTGGAGCCCTGACATTATGCCAAAAAGCATTTTGCAGGGATGGTCAAATGTGGTCAGGCATAGCCGAGGTCATCGTTGTGCCTATATTATGGAAAAAACTCATAATACCCTCTACAACAAACACTATTCTGGCAGAATGCCCAGGTGACATTGTCTAAACCACAGGAAGGACCAAGTACTGTAATCTCATCATCAGATTCATCACATGCCACTCTGTGTAAACATACACTCTGACAGGACTAGCTGGTTCACAATTCACACCACACCCTCCCTTCATGTACACTCACTGCAGAAAGACAATCCATGCACATCCTTCCCATTAACTGGAAGCTCCAACAGCTATGGACAGTCACCAGATACGGTTGAGCAAGGCAGTTTGCTTCTAGCGTTACAATCCTACATGGTATTGATGACATTATTGTATGTGGCTGGCTGCATGTGATTTACACAGTACTCAACATGTAGTAGTGCAAGTTACAGATAGCCAGCTACATAAATAAAATAAAAGATTATTTCAAACAAACTTTGCTAATATGCGCTGCCTGTCCAGTAGATTTATCTTCATACTGACCTGCAATTGTTCCAATTGTTCTCCTGAAAGGACTGTAGTTAAATCAATTTGTGGTTCTAAAGCCTAAACATGTTTTACCTTTTTACATTCCTTGCATTAAGGTAAAAAAATATTTAGGAATCAGTATCCCTCCTCACCCCCTCCTTTTACTAACCTTAGCCCTCATTCAATCCAGCACTGTGCCCGTCTGCAGCTCTTCTCTTCTCTAGCTTCCTGGTTTCATTGGCTTTGTTGAGGCAGTAGGAGCCATTGGCTCCCACTACTGTCAATCAAAGCCAGTGGCAAGTGAGTGGGGTGCGGGTCAAGTCCCACTGTCTGTGTCAATAGATGCAGGCAGCAGGGCTCAGGTGTCAGCCTACATGAGTACACTCACAGAAAGCAGCGTTCCATCAGGGCACTTGGTGGAGGAGAGGAGCCTGGAAAGCCGAGAGAGGAGGTTCGGGGCTGCTCAGTGCAATTCATTTGCACAGAGTAGGTAAATATAAACCTGTTTGTTAATAAAAAGAAGAAGCACAACCACTTTAATGACCAATAAAGCACAACTGAAGTCTTGGTTTCTATACTAGTTATGCAGTGAGGCTACACAACATGTAAAAACGTAACAGAATATTGCATTTTCTTTATTAAAGCTGCAGTCTCCTGTGTAAAAAAATTAAGTCAGCATTTACAAAAACTGTAGCTGCTGACTTTTAATAAACAGTCACTAACCTCACCCCAGCCATTTTCATCTCCTGTCATCTGTCTCCGGTACCAGCATGTTAACTGATTGCCCACTGAGCATGCGTGAGCCGCATTGCACATTGTGAATGGTCGCGCAGTCTTCTGCGATCTGTCCCAGAAGACTGCTGGGGAGACGGACTTCCGCTTCCAATTGCCTAGGCGGTCAGAGCGGAAGTGGGAATGGGTACCTGTCAAAATAAGATACCTGCCCCCCCTCCCCAAAAGTTCCATTTCTTAACCAGGAGTGGGGGAGGAAGCCTTAAAGCTAAACTTCCCCTTTTGGGTGGAGCTCTGCTTTAAGTTTAGCTTTTTTTTTTTTTTAAATCAGCTCCAGGTTCAGTACTTACATTGAATAAGAAGTGTCCCCTGCAGCTGGTGGCTGCTGTTCGGTGAAATTTACATCTTCCCACAATACCCCTAACCTCTCCTCCAATACAATACTCCCACAGCTGTGATCTTTTGGTGTTGCAAGGGTTAATACAAGTAGATGGACCACTTGTCAAAAGTGACATCTGTGTCCATCCACCCACCACACCCAAATGAATGAAAGCTGTGCCTCCTCCATTCTTTCAGCGCTTTTCACTGTGGGAAGTGAAAGTATAGTTCTTAGGCTACACTCAGTTATAGATTTTAAATGTGTTTTCAGATTGGTAGAAATGCATTACAATCCATTTACCATTATTTCCTATGGGTCCTGTTCACATCTTTGAACTTGCATGGTTTGGGAAACATTCACACTGCATGCAACCGGTGATATCACCAGCACATGAGCTCTGAAAGAACGGCATACCTGTGCCGTCCCATCAGAGCCCTGTGCCGCGACCAAAACTCACGCACGCACCGGGAGTGACATCATCATGGTTTGACTAGTCAGACGGCTGGAGCAAGCAAACCCGGAAGGAAGACCAGGTGAAGATGGAAGCCCTATCAGCGGTGAGAGCATGGGTGATGAGCTGTGACCCTAGGTTCACATCTGTGCAGGTGGTGCCACTGCGGATCCACACGAAAATCTGCACAGAGAAATGCAGACCCGTGGGCGGGTGCTATTAGTTCTAATGGCACTCTGCCCGCACTGGAAAATGCAACTGTACTGGGAACCGAGGTTCCCGTGCAGGCTACGTTTTCCAAAGACATGCAGGGACTTCTTCCCTGTGTGTCACGGGCGCAGGAGTCCATTCAAATGAATGGGCTCTCGTGCCCGTGCAAAATGTGGCCCGCACGGCCGCATATATGTGAACCAGGGGTAAGTGCACACACAGCTGTTGCATCAGTTCAGGGATCGCTTCTCCTCTTTCTGCAGTGCTTTTGGGATGGATCAGAAGGAGAGAATTGCTCTGATCTGTCCCAGAAGCGCTGAGGAAAGAAAAGGGAGAACAGTGAAGATTTCAAATCCCCAGACTGCTGCAATACCTTCTTGGGCACTGACAGCTCATCACATCACGGAGGTAAGTACAGAGGGGTCCAGGATGGTGTACATTGTTAATTCACCTTTTCATTTTTTTCTGTAAAAGTGAACCAAAACTTTAATTGTGATATAAAACAAGCTGAAGTGAACCTATCACCTGCCAGCTGTACAGGAAGCTGCAGAAAGAACATGGGGAAACGCCATAGCATCCTAACCACTTTATGGCTGCAGGCTTTCTGTGTACTTTAACCCGATTCACACATATGTGGTGTGGGAAATGCAGCGATCCCAGCACATTTCCCACACTGCATTGCAATTGCACTGTGTTCTGCAATCTGCTGTGGGACCCAATACAAAGTTAAGGACACGGCATTTGCCTGCACCAGATCGCATGGTACAAAACGACCATGCGATCCATTTTCAGTGCGGCTCTAAAAAAAGGTGACTGCGTGTTTTTTGTGCTATGCGTTGCAATTTGAACCCATTCAAAATGAATGGGATCAAACTGCACCGCACTGAATGTGTATTGCACCGGAATGAGGTGTGGTTCTTGTGTGATTCACATGTCAGCTATAGTGTGAACTGGGGCTAAAGCACAACTAAACCCTCCTATCCATTCCAGCCAAGGAATCTGCAGTTGGCACGGTCCTGCACATGTGATGAGCTATGACACCAGCCATTGGATGGTATGACAGTTCAGCCGAGAGCAAAAGCCAATGTGACAGTTACATTCCCGACACGTTCAAGAAATATAACGGTTTTTTGAAAGTGTTAAATCGATGGCTTTAGATCCATTTACAGCATAACTAAAAACAAAACTTTTTTTTATTAGACCCCATTCACACTTCGCGTGTCGCAATTCCCAATTTTTTGGGGGCAATTTACGTGCGTTTCCGTGTATCGTACATAGGGTAGCCTGTTCATTTGTCGTGCCAAAGAAGCCTGTGCATCAGCTTGGACGATGCACTTCCCGTAATTTTTTCGACATGCAGATTGCCACAATTTCCCTATTTTTGGCATGGCAACAATTGTGGCAAAATCGCACTGCGTTTGGGGTGCCATTAACTGCTTGCTGACTGGCTCACGTAGGAGTACGGCAGCAGAGCGGCTCTCCTGTGCCAGCTCACATATCTAGTACTTGATCCAGCACTTTCAGGTAGGGGGTGCACGCCGGCAATGCTGTGTTTAGTCACAGCACAAGCCGATAAGTGGGTGACGGCCAATGACGGACCACCAGCACCAGCTGATCGGCGAGGAGGAGGACAGGATAGAGCTCTGTCAATGTAAACAAAACAAAGCTCTGTCCCGTCGGCGGGGATGTGACAGGTTTTGTTGCCCTGCAAAGCAGAGAAAACCGGCACATCCCTTAGTGAAAGAAACACAAAGTACACCTATAAACACTGGTTGGGCACACATTAAACCCTTTGATCATCCTAGATGTTTAACCCCTTCCCAGCCAGTGTCATTAGTACAGGGGCAGTGTATACTTTTAGCACTGATCAGTGTATTAGTGTCACTGGTTCCCACAAAGTGTCAGTTAGTGTCAGATCGACATCCGTACTATTACGGTACCACTATAAATCCCTGCCATTACTAGTGTACAAAATTCAATAAATAATTCCAGAATATATCCCATAGTTTGTAGAAGTTATACCTTTCATGCAAACCAATCAATATACCCTTATTGGGAATTCTCTTTTTACCAAAGACATGTAGCAGAATACATACTGGCCTAAATTTATTTAAAATTTTTACTGGATATGTTTTATAGCAACACAGTGGCTAAATGGTTAGCACTTCCGCCTGGCAGTACTAGGGTCGCTGGTTCAAATCCCAACCATTGCGCCACCTGCCTGGAGTTTGCATGTTCTCCCTGTGCCTGCGTGGGTTTCCTCTGGGTACTCCAGTTTCCTCCCACTCTCCTAAAACGTGATGGTAGATTAATTGGCTCCTGTCTAAATTGTCCCTAGTATGTGTATGTATGAATGTGAGTTAGGACCTTAGATTGTACGCCCCTTGAGGGTTAGGGACTGATGTGAATGTACAATATATATGTGCAGTGCTGTGTAAATTGACGGCGCTATATAAGTACCTGAAATAAATAAAAAAATAGCAGAAAGTAAACAATATTGGGTTTTTTTTTTGTACATTTTCAATAATTTTTTGCTTTTAGCACAAAATAAAATAATAAAACATATTGGTGATCAAATACCACCAAAAGAAAGCTCTATTTGTGTGAAAGCAATGATGTAAATTTTGTTTGCATACAGTGTTACATGACTGCGCAATTGTCAGTTAAAGTAGCACAGTGCTAAAAAGCAAATATTGGCCTGGCCAGGAAGAGGGTAAATCTTCCGGAGGGCAAGTGGTTAAGAATGAATGGCACCCAAAGGTGCATCACGTCACGATTTGGAAGTGCAGAAATGAATATACCAATTCTGCCCGCGATTCCAAACCACTAGGTGGGAATGGGCCCTAAGCTTTGGATAAAGTGTAGAAGATTAGAACACCTGTCAGTCTTTTTTGTTGTCTGTACCCCCCTTAGGGAGAGTCCCCCTCTCTAAATGTCCTGTTGACTGTGATCACTGGAAGAGTAAAAGAAAATCCCAAACCTTAGGTTGTCACCAGAAGAGGAATAGAGCAGAAATCTTTCTATGGGGACACCAGTTCGGGTGACAACCCTCACTTTCACTTCCTGTTTTGGTTATGTAACAGGAAGTGACGGGAAATCTCCCCAATGGGGACACAGATAAAAACCTGACCAGGATGATAACCCTCCCTTAGTTTATCCAACGTGAAAAGTTTAGCCTACAGTTCTACTCAATGGAAGTCTCCGTGTCCTGTGTATAGGGGCTGCCTAGGTGTGAAGCCACAGGTTGTGGTGTCACACACAGGCCTGAGCGGAGTGTCCGGGTACACAGTGGTGTCACAGCCCGGAGTGTTCACACATCCCCCTCACACTGCCTCCCATGTCTCTCACATACACACACAGGGTGATAGAAATGAGGAACACACACCTGCCGGTCACCACCGCCGCCCTCCGCTGTCTCCTCTCTCCACCTCTCGTGTCAGGAAGAGCCGGCGCTTCCGTACTGCCCAGCTGTGACACTGCTACGCTGCCATGGCAACAGCCCTGAGTGACACGAGGAGGAAGGCGGAGAGGCGAGGGGCGGTGCTAGCGCGCTGTAAACAAAACTAAACTTTATTGACAACGCGACTCGTCACCTGAGGGGAACTTCCGGCTGTGACTGGGCGTATGCCACACAAAACATGGCGGCCAGGATGTACGTTGTAGGCTTCTGTTTGGGTTCCGGGTTGGCCGTAGCGGATGGTTTAGGGTTGGGTTCGGTAGGTGTTGAGCAGAGGAGGCTCGCTGTGTGATGACACCGTAGAAGTTGGTTTTATTGAAGGGGAGCTGTGCGGAGGTGATGCCATCGTCGTATGTCCTATATAGTGTGTTCATAGCTCACGTGACTTCTGTCCTGTCCACAGTCAGATGGAGTGGCAGTATCGGAGGGATAGACTATGACACTGCAGTTGGGGCTTCAATGGTCGCATTTTATGTAAAGTAGAACTATGGGCAATTTTTCATTCATTTTGGATCGAGTAATGGAGGATTATACCCCCCTGTCAGGCTATGTTCTACCATCTGTGCCCCATTGTGGAGATCTCCCTTCACTTCCTGTCCCATAGCCACAGCAGGAGGTGAGAGGAAATCCCTGCAAATTAAAGGACTTCCCTGGGGTCACCAGAACTAGTGGAAGGTTTCCCCTCCATTACTTTTCTGGGGACAGCCCACTTTCAATGATAATGGTCAGGGCTGCTGATAAGGGGGTACCTCTCTCTAGAGGGCCCATCAATTTACCAGGGGGGCCATGGCAGGTTTACCTTACATAAACGTTTGTGGTGACACAGAGGCACTTTTTAATTCTTGCCCCGCAACTCCTAGAGTGTTCAAATATTGCATATTTCCCTTGGGCCCCATCTTTTCATCAGAGGGGCCCAGGGAGTCTGTAACTGATCAGGAACTATTTTTTTTAAATTGCAGGGCGTAGGTGACCGGCACTGCATTTGACCAATACGAAGTTTAAAGGTCCGGCTTCCAGCTGGTGGAGAGACATGCATTGGATGAATGTCTGACTCCCTCAGTAACTCCTGAGGGCAGGACTGAAGCCCGCTGTAATATGGGAGATTGTGGTGGCCAGGCAAAGTCAGTACAAACATAAAAATTGCCCAGTGGTAGAATCCCAAACAAACCAATAAGTAAATACAAGGTGCTTAAATGACAATAGTGCTAAAAATAGCACATATACAATGCCATGAGACTGTATACAATAAAATTGTACAAAACAATATATATTTATATATATATATATATATATATATATATATATATAAAAGTCCCAATAATTGTGCAAACATTTGAAAGTTCTCAAAAAAAACCCCAAAGAAATCCCCATCTGCATCCGGTGTGAATATTAAGTAATACAATAGTAAATCTTCTTATCCATAGCAATTCTCTGTGGGGAGGAGGGATATAATTGCCAGCCCATGGGGCTTTATAGCACATGCACATTTTTGGGGACCCTTTGTGTAGTAGGGAGTTCATTCATTTATTTAAAGTAGTTTTTGGGAGAGGCAGCGCAGAAATTTGTATGTTTGCACTTACATTTGTTCACCAGTATACATTTGTGATTTTGCTAGCAGCCAGTCTAATTGATCAGTCCTCTGCGCAGGTTATACTCACACACAGTCGGTACAGTCTGGGATCGTGATCCAGGAGGCAGGAGCAGCAGGCTAGAGAGTGACAGCACACAAGCGCCCTTACCAGTAAGGAGTCCCCTACTCTGTATACAAGAGTATCATCCATGGCTCGGAGTGCTTGAGTACATACACTCTGCAGTCATGGATGATAACACAGCCACAGCACCTCACTATGCTTTTGTAATCATCATCAGGATGATGACACAGTACAGGTTCTGTAGTGTGTGATCATGATGATGATCACATAAGTACAGTAAAATAATTGAGATTACTTTTATGCCTAATTTACACTTGTTTTTGGATGAATAGTAAAACCATACATCTTTGCTGTGCATTTTTACCTCCCTTCAGCCATTCCCCCTTATGCTGAAAAGGCATCAGAGTGGGAGTATGCATGCTGTGGCCATGATGCCTTTTGCGTGGCAAAAATCATCCCCACTGCTGCATTCAGCAGGTAGTACTGCTGTCTGACTTTAATCCATTCGACTGCTAGTGCTGGGGTTTTAAAGTGGAGCTCCACCCAAAAGGGAAAGTTCCTCTTTAATACATTGTCCCTCACTCCCCGTTAAGGATTGGCACCTTTGGGGAGCGGGTAGCCGAATCTGACAGGTATCTGTAGTATATTGTCTGTAATATATATAGAAGATATTGAAACACATACTGTTCATTCTGGACAGGCCAGTGACAAAACTACTTTACACATCAAAAGACTCTGTGCTATGTTAATTTTATGCAAGGTCACCTGGTATTTGGGGAATAGCCTGTTTATCTAATTAGACATTCCAAAGGGTACATTGTATATGTGATTTGACCATACAAGCAGTATTTACTGATGGTAATTAGACTCCAGGGGGTAATTCATGGGAAATGGTGACTTATTTATTTGGTAAACACTATAGTGACCACAATTGTTATTTAAGTTTTTTCATGTAAGATCAAAGTGGCCAATCAGAGTACTTGCCATTGTACTGAATGGGGAAAATGTGTATATTAAGACAGAAGACCAAGCACAAGTGAGGATACCTGGGACAGAGCACAAGTGAGGATACCTGGGACAGAGCACAAGTGAGGATACCTGGGACAGAGCACAAGTGAGGATACCTGGGACAGAGCACAAGTGAGGATACCTGGGACAGAGCACAAGTGAGGATACCTGGGACAGAGCAAGTGAGGATACTGGGACAGAGCACAAGTGAGGATACCTGGGACAGAGCACAGGTCAGAATAAGTGTGACAGGGCACAGGTGATAGGACGCAGAAAGAAAGGAGTTTTTCTTCCTGTCATTGATATGGGAGCGCAGGTATAGATCATAACTTACATTATTGCATGCATGGAAGCTACCTAGGTGCATATTATAGATTGGACATATGCTGGACAGTGTAGTATCTCTATGCTTGATATGAAGTATCTTGAATGGGACTTTGAGAGTTGTTCATCATTGTAATATTGACAAGTATTCAGCTGGATTTCTGTCATCTGCAACAAATATCTTTATCCGAATAAATGCATCTCTCTAGAAAAGGACTATTGGTTGCTGCGGGAATAGTATATATATAAATACACCCTGGTCGTCCGGAGAAGGGCTGGATTTCCATGTGTGATATGTTCATCTTGTATTATTCACAAGTATTCATCTGGATTTATGCTGACTGGATGTCTCTCTGGAATATAACTGTTGTCATATATTAGAAGACAACAGTATCCGCTCCCACTTACACTGTAATCGCCTAAGGCAATCGGAAACGGAAGTTGTGATTTCACACTCTTTCCAGTGATGTGGACAAAAATGACTTGTGCTGAATTCACCACTATTGCGTATTTGTAAGAACCATGCGTGCACCTCCACCAGTTGTGCTCTCACCTGATAGATATGACCAAACCGTTAAAGTGAGGTCATAAAGAGCCTGTGTTCCTTTTTGTTTGGACTTAGACTGGATGGGATTATTAATCTTCAGAGTTTAGGGATCCCCTCATTTCCTTAAGACACTTCCTCCATTGGTATATATGCCATAAAGAGCAATGAAAACATAGTGCCTTGTCTTCTTTTAAAACATTTATTAAACACAAAGTATTGCACTCACATGTAAATGCTGATAAAATCGCTTTAAAAACTGATCCGCAGTGTTTTCTAGCTTTCAATTCAGTACACTTGCTGTGTGACTGCCTGTCTTCTTGAGCGTTGTAGCGTCAGAGCCCCTCCCTGGCTCAGGAGCAAGCTTGCACAATTGCACTGATAGCAAGCAGCTTGGTATGGAGGCACACAGATAAGAGGAGGAACCTAAAACCCTGGCAGGGGACCTGAGAAGAGGAGGTTTGGGACCCTCTGTGCAACACCATTGCAGAGAGTAGGAAAGTAAAACCTGTTTTTATATATATATATATATATATATATATATATATATATATATATATATATATATATATATATAATAAAGTCTTTACAATGACTTTAAAGCTGAACCCAGTGAAACCTAAAAGTTCTCTCTTACAGTGGGGCTGTGCCCTCACTGCAAGGGTTAACTGCTTGCTTGGCTTTAAGGGGACCAGGTAAAGCAGTGTTTCTTACCTGAACCTCTGCTCCTGCAGGCTCCTTTACACTGCTGGACAGGTCCCCAAAGCCTCTTCTCTCGTGTGCTGCATGGGTCTAAGGTCCTAAGACATCATGAAGACCAATGCAGGGACCATAGACCCGAAAGTGACGTGAGGATGCCAAGAAACGGTCCACCACCAGAGTATGTAAAGTGAAAGATCAGGTAAGTAAAGCTACTTTTCAGTCCCCTAGACTTAACAAGCAGTTAATGCTTTCAGTGCAGGTGCAGCCCCACTGCAAGGGAGGATTAAAATCTTGTAAAGCAGCTGTAAGGCTTACCATGACCATACGTCTGCTTTAAGGAAATATAAAGCACAGCGCTGAAAGTCCAATTAAATGAATGAGGAAAAATGGAAAGGTAGCTCAGCCGTGTGATCTGTCAATCATGTGACCTGTCCCTGCTTCCATCACAAAGTGTTTCTGCAGGGTTGTGCAGAGATCATGCGATACGCTTCATATCACAGCTTGCATTCTATGACTAACAAGTAAAATGCCGGAGCAGTGAATAACAATCTATTTACCAGGTGGCCATGGTGGGAATCCACCATTCTTGCCAGCAGCAGTGCTGCCAGAATTGTACCATGTTTGCATGTAACCACTCATCTGTGCAGTTACATGATTAGTGAACCAAGTTGTATGAATTTCACACATTAATGTGTGTTGTATTAAAGCGGCCCATTCATTTGACTCATCGCAACAGATCAAAATTTGGTCTTAGCATTTTCAACAAAGCACCGCAACACACAGTAGTGTCTTGTAGCGCGCAGATGGGTTGGCGTGCTATTCACAATAAATGGAACAGTGCACCAATGTCATTAACATACGTTAGCTCAGTTGTGTGAATTATCCTCTTATATACTGGATACTGTTAATGTATGCATTATTCACATACAGGTATCCAAATACAATAGCATTTTGTCTCTTCACGGGACACACTTAGCCACTAGGCGATGATTGGTTGCTTTGGGTTACTGTACATAGCTAACACCTCCATGGCAGAGGATGTGCAGTAAGAGGTTGTCTGTGCATGCAGAGTGGTGGGCTGCTTGTTTGATCCACAGTTCTGCCATACTCACCAATAAACAAACTATGCAGTAGTAGAATATTGTACCATGTTTGTCACCAAATAATGCAGATAGTTTGATTTTGTGATACCCTTTATTGGCTAACTTGAATTTCCTTCATCAGGCTTTATATAGTTGTATACTGTGTCTGTGTGCGGAGGCGGCAGAAGCACTGCAGGTCCTCAGGTACACATCCATCAAGGAGAACAATAAGCAGCACAGTAGTGACATCAGTAAAATCTGTGTTGATGGGCTTTCATTTCCATACAAGTGTATAGGGATGCAACTGCAGGTCATATGTACCTGTCAATGAATGATCTGAAATCAACCCACACTGATGCTATTGACATAAACCCAAAGCCTGTCAACACAGACATTACATTTCACTCCAGATGTGGTGAGACTAGCAGTTAACAATGGTTCACACTGGGTCCTACTTTGAAACCGTGCAACTTCATTTGAAGTCGCGCGATTTCAAAGCCGTATGTCAGTGTGACTTCATGTGCAACTTGGCAGACATCTGTGCATGTTCATGCTAAGATGTCTAGGCAATCACACCTGAAATCTCAAAAACTAGTGCAGGAATCTCTTCTTCAGATCGGTGAGACTCCAACTTTGCGGTGTCGCACCGATTTGAACAGTTCCTTTGCCGACAGTAGAGTGCGACTTGTCATACGATTTGAAACTGTGAAATTGCACGACAAGTTGCATCGGTGTGAACCAGGGCTAAGGACACAGTGCCTTAAATGATCTCACACTGCAGATATACAGCTATGGGGCGAGATTCACCAGCTGGAAGTGCACTTATTTTTCAGGAAAAATTACAGAAAAAGGTAGATTTTTCAGGATACAATTTACATTTTGAGATGTTCCCAAATCTTCATTTTTTATTTTCCATAAAACCACTTGAAAGGGATGTAATTCACCTGAAATGATCATTTTGTTTTTAAATGATTTCAGGTATGGTGAGAAGCAATGAAACACACTGAGATTGTACCTGATGCCTTTGATTTGACTCCTGCTTTTGCAAACCACAAAGCCATTTCTGTCTGTGAGTATTCCGCTTTGTTCTTCAACTTATAAGTTTAAAGTGATATTAAACCCTGACATGTTTAAATGAATTACAGAAGCTTACCTCAGTATTTGTGTGCTACTTCTTTTTAAGATCTTGCCTTTCTTATTGCTTGAGCCAGACCTAAAATTGCTGCCCCAGGTTCCTGGTTTTCAGGAGGCTCCAGTGACTTCCAGAGTCCTGTTAAACCACCTTTACATGCGTTCTCCTTTGAGAGAGTCTCCTAGCCAATGCTATGATGTTGCCTAAGCCAACATGTACAAATGGCCTGGAAGCAATGACAGGGCATGCATGCCTAGTCCCAAGGAGGGGGGACAGAGGGGCTTTCCCTGAAGCAATGGGTGCTTGCTCCATAACAAGTAGTTTGGGGAACAGCGCACAGGAACCCAGATATTATTTCCTTGTGTGATGCAACCTTGGGATCCTTGCTATAGGGCTGGCTTATTGTACAGTTCCTTTTACAACATAAATTCCATCTAATATCCTTTCGCAATGCAGTCTTGTTGCGTGAAAGCTCACACTGGTGAGACAACAATGAAAGATATTGGGGGTGATTTAATAAGGCATTTGTGACACTGTTCTGGGGGTGTGTATGTAGCCAGAAGCCTTGCACCAAATTTATAAAATCTTTGACACTCAAATTCATAAAAACTTTCAAGGTATGACACACATGTGACACTTTTATAGCTTGGCCTTGTTATTGCATTATATTGATAACCAAGTACCAACATATTGGCGATAAGGAAAGTGTAGGTAAATCAGAGCTGTTCTGTGTAGGAGTAAATTATTTGTGTCACATGTATGATTATGTTGTATCTTTAAAATAATTCTACAACAAAATTTGTCTTTAAAGGAGACCTTCACGAAGGTTTTATACTTCTCTCCATCCCAATTCTCCCCCTCCACAACACACAAAAAGCACACCTATTTAAATCAACACTTTTTGCTTTTTCTTTTAACAATTGCTGGTTATTTCGCCACATCCTTCTGCATCCTTTTGAGATACCAACGTCACATCCAGGGAGGCTGCAGGAAGCTTTCCCACTACTCAATGAAATATAAATGAAATCCTCCTGCCCTAGGAGGCACTCTGCACATGCACAGTTTGTTGTGTATTAGAAGGTGCATGTGAGCGGCACAGGGCCAATCAGCACTGTCCAGACAGAGGGTCAGGGGTCATGCAGCCTCATAGGACAGTCATAGGAGAATGAACGCTCCTACAGGCTTTAACCTGTGCTCAGGTGGACATTGATATAAGTCACAAGACTGCTATATACTGCTGATGAGAAAAGGTATTTAGCAGTTTATATTTACTAAAATACAGTGGGGATAATAATCATTTGATCCCCTGCAGATTTTGTAACTTTGCTCACTTACAAAGAAATGAAGGGTCTCTAATTTTTTATCATAGGTTTATTTTAAATGATAGAGACAGACTATCAACCAAAATTCCAGAAAAAAACACACAATACAAATGTTATAAATTGAGTTGCAGTTCAGTGAGTAAAATAAGTATTTGATCCTCTACCAACCAACAAAATTTCTGGCTCCCACAGACTGGCTATGTGCTCATGTGGTACACAGATTAGTCCTTTCAATTTAAGAAGGTGCTCCTAAGGACAACTCATTATGTATAAAAGACACCTGTCCACAGAATCACTTTCTTCCTTTCAAACCTCACCATTATGGGCAAGCCCAAAGAGCTGTCAAAGGACTTCAAGGACAAGATTTTAGACCTGCACAAGGCTGGAAATGGGCTACAAGACCATCAGCAAGAAGCTTAGTGAGAAGGAAACAACTGTTGGAGCAATTACTCGTAAATGGAAGAAATACAAAATAACCATCAATCACTCTCGGTCTGGAGCTCCATGCAAGATTTCGCCTCATGGGGTAAGGATGATTGGTGAGGGATCAGCCCCGAACTACACGGGGGGAGCTTTTGAATGATCTCAAGGCAGTTGGGACCACAGTCCCCAAATAAACCATTGGTAACACAATACGCCGCCATGGCTTGAAATCCTGCAGCGTTCGCAAGGTCCTCCTATTTAAGAAGGTACATGTACAGGCCTGTCTGAAGTTTGCCAATGAACATTTAAATGATTCAGGGAAATATTGTGAGAAAGTGCTGTGGTCCAATGAGACCAAAATTTAACTCTTTAACTCGACTCGCTGTGTTTGAAGGAAGAAAATTGCTGACTATGACCCTAAGAACACCAACCCTGCAGTCCAGCACGGAGGTGGAAACATTATGCTTTGGGGCTGTTTTTCTGCTAAAGGTACAGGCTGACTTTGCCGCATTGAGGGGCCAATGGACAGGGTCATGTATTGTAAAATGAGAACCTTCTTCCCTCAGCCAGAACACTGACGATGGGTCTTACAGCATGACAGGACCCAAAACATGCCGCTAAGGCAACAAATGGGTGGCTCAGGAAGAAGCACTTTAAAGTGGTACTAAACCCACAACAGTAAAATCAGTCTGTATATGCAGTAAAGCATGCTTGATATACTCACTGTTTAACCTAAGTGGTTAATCCTCTGCATTGTGTAAAAAGGCAGTTTGATCCTTTCTTCTCTGCCCCTCCTCTTGTTTAAATGTCCACGTCTTATCTTCTGATCAGACAGACTGAACCCGTAGTCACATGCTCAGTTTAGTGTGTATTGCTAGAGAGGTTTTTTTTTCTCTTTTGAGGGAGTGCATGTGAGCAGCAAAGGGCCAATCAGCACTGTCCAGACAGAGGGTCAGGGGTTTTGCATCCTCCTAGACCAGAAAGAAGACTCCACCTAAAAACTTTAACCAGTGCTCTGCTGAAGTCACAAGACTGCTCTAACTGCTGATGAGAAAAGGTATTTAGCAGTTTATATTTACTAAAATAATTGCATTTCCATGTTCTGTGTACTGTAGGAGACCAGATATAGTGAATGCAGGGTCCTGGGTTTCGTAAGGTCATGGAGTGGCCTAGCCAATCTCAAGACCTTAATCCTTTAGAAAATTTACTGAGGGTGCTGAAACTTTGAGTTGCCAAGCGACAGCCAGGAAATCTTAAGGATTTAGAGAAGATCTGTAAAGAAGAGTTGACTAAAATCCCTCCTGAGATGTGTGCAAACCTGGTAACCAACTACAAGAAAAGTCTTACCTCTGTGCTTGCCAACAAGGTTTTCTCCACCAAGAACTAAGTCATGTTTTGCTTGGGGATCAAATACTTATTTTATTCACTGAACTGCAACTCGATTTATAACAATTTTGTATCATGCATTTTTTCTGGAATTTTGGTTGATATTCTGTCTCTATCACTTGAAAATACACCTATGATAAATATTATAGACCCTTTTGTAAGAGGGCAAACTTACAGAATCTGCAGGGGATCAAATTTTGTTTGAAAGGACAAGTTCACTTTTTCAAATAATTGTGTTCTGTTATTTTAATTGAGATAGATATATATATTAGTGAGGATCAATTAATTATTTTCCGCACTGTAATTGCGTTTCCGTGTACTGTGGAAGACCAGATATAGTGAATGCAAGGTTCTGGGTTTAGTAACACAAACCGTAAAAAAACAAAAAATGTATTTTAATGCAATTTACCAAACATTAGATGTGGTAGCTACATCAGTTTTCTTTTCCTTCTTTTTTCCTTCTGTTTTCACATGGTGATTTGGCCAGTAACACACCTCCTGTATTAGTGAGACACCACTTTGGAGAATGAGTCAAGAAACGGCACACAGCAGCACTGTCAGTCTGGGGGGGATGGGAGAGTTTTAAATGTATTAGCAGATTTGAATACAAATAAACTGAAGCCAAACTCCAGCTAATACTTTATAATCAGTTACAGCAAACAGTTGTTTTTCCTTTTTGGGATAAAGGTTTTACATGAATACATAAAAGCTGATCATTTTAGTCACTGCTGCCAGTTGTAAATGGATTGCCTCATCCATGTAAGCTGATGTATTCTGCAGAAGAGTTTGAATTTCTGAAAAACAGCAGAGTTTCTGGCTGAATCAGCAGATGAAAATGGAATGAAACATAAAAAAGAAACTTTTGAAGCCTTCAGACTAAGAATTGGTAAGCTGCAGCATAATAAATGTTTGATTTTGGGTTTAATACCACTTTACAGAGCAGAGCTTTAGGCAAAATGTTTTTTTAATTTTGGATAGAGTAAGGGAGGGTTATAACATCTGTCAGATTTTTGTTTGCCCATTGCAGAGATTTTCCTTCACTTCCTGTCCAATAGCCAAAACATGAAGTGAGAGGAAATCTCTGCAAATTAAAAAGAAACCCTTGGGGACCCCAAAGTCACCAGAACCCAGGTCCTCATTGGAAAATGTCCCCTCTTACTGTTCTGGGGACGGCCCAAAATTTTGGTTTTTCTTTTATCTTTCAATGATCATGGTAAACGGGAAAAAAAAAAAAAAAAAAAAATCAACAGACTTTACTGGTACTAGGGAAGACACAATTCAAAACACATATGAAAACTTTAATTTATTACATGCTCACAATCAAAGCAGGAAATGAATCCCAAACAAATAGTCAGATATCTCATAATAGCATGTACAAAGATGTATCAATCAGATAAATGCTTTCCTTGAAAGAATCCAAGCGGTCAACGCGTTTCACATACAATGCTTCTTTAGGACCTTTTTCTTGGAGACGAGAAACCCGAGTAACCCAACTAGAAAACTATAATACATTATACACATAATACAAACGTTTATTCTTATACAATCCTAAAAGAAATTGTCTGTGTAGACATATCACTTTGATATCAGGTGAGGATGGCATATAGCCTAAAAAAAGAGAGGCATAAACTAGACCAGTCATAAAGCCATAGTAATATAGATGTTGCATGCCAAATTTCCAATTAAAAAAAAAAAAAACTTCTTGACAATTATCCACAACAAAAGAGGCAACCAGAAGTATACCTCCAAGAGAGAGAAACATCAATGAACAGTATCCAAAAGGGGACCAGAAGGGAACTGCACTTA